CAATTTTATTGACATAGCAACTTTATTTCCTGCAGATCTGTCAATTTAATTTCTTTTAAATATTTTTAGTTTAGTTTATTTGTTTATTTAATATGTATAAATATCTTTGTATTTTTATTAAATCTCATTACCTTTTTGGCAAAGGTAACTGACGAGATATTAATCTTTTAGATACTGAACTTATATATTATATTAATAAAGGAGTATAATTAACCAAGTATAAAACTTATCCTTTGCAAACCCTTTAAAACTGTTATAAATTATTTGTGACCTTTTGCATTCGTGTAATTTCTTTTGTTAGTAAACTTATTATATGATATTGTATTGATTTGCTGTATTGACTTAGAGTCTCTGAAGTATAATCTCTGAAATATCTTTGAGTTATCTTTGTGTTTATTTGTGTTTACCTCACGTGATTTATATTAAGAATAATCCTTTGACGTTATTGTGAATCCTCATCCGTGATTTCTTGAGTAATTGTCTTAGTTTTATTTACCCTTTTTGAGATTTTATTTGAAGTTACAAAACTATTGTGACAACGTTTTATATATATTTTTAATACATTTTTATAAATTTTAATAGTTAAAATATTAAATAATTAGAATGTTAAATAGTTAGATTTATTATTTTTTACTAATTATATTAAAAAAAATATAAAAATAAAAATAAAAAATAAATTTAATTGTATTATAGAACTTTTTTATTAAATTAAACTTCATTAAATATAAACTTATTTAAATAAAATACTATAGAATATCTATTTTTTAAAATAAGTAAATTTATATATAATAAAAAAGCAGATTTTAATAATATTATATATCCTAAATCTAATTGCATTACAATTTCAATTTATGATAACTAAAAATCTTCACTTTAAAGTTGTCAAAAATTATTATTTACAAAAAGCATATAAGTAATTGTTAAAATTTTTATGTAAATTAATAGCTTCTTATCTTACTTGATTTAAGCTATCTGATTCTCCTATACAAAAATTTATTCTAAAATAATAGCTTACTAATAATAGTTGAAATATTAATATTAAAATCTAAAAATAATTCAATAAAATAATTCATAATTAATTTTATCATATAATATTCTAATTTTATAATTAATAAAAATAATATTATATTAAAATAATTAAAAAAATTAAATATAAATTCAGATCTTATTACTTTTAAAAATAAATTTCTTTAATATTAATTTTTTAAATTAATTTCTTATTTCTTTAAAATTTATTAAATATATTTTTAAAGTTTTTTTTAATAAATTTAAATTATAATTATTTTCTTATTTATATTTTTGCATATAATTGACTGCATAATAAAATTTTTCAAATCCTATTAATATAGGATAATTATAATGTTTTTGCATAAATTTATAGTCACATAAATTACATATGTTATTATATTACTATTGTTACTTTATCTATTATTGTTGATGTTGATGTTAGTAATGGTGATAATGGTAAAAGAAAGGAAAATGAAAAAGAAAAAATTTTAAAAATTGTAAAGATCATGATTAAAATTGTTATAAAAACTGTAATTATAAATTAATAATGATATTTTAATAATGTAGTTAATATATTTATTATGTGTTTTATAACTTAATTTCATTATATATATCAATAATTTCTTTAGCAAGAGATTGGATTAGATTAGATTTGATTTGTATTTGCATATACATTTAGATTTAAGTTTGAGTTTAAATGAGTTTGAATGAGTTTACATTTGTATTTGCATTTGATATATTGATTTATTTTTTATTTAAAATAAAAAGAAATTTTCAAAAATTATTATTTATAAAATAAAAATTGTAATAATTGTGTTATTTATAAAATAAAATTGTAATAAAACATTCAAGTATAAAAAATTAATATTTAAATAAGAAATGATAAAATAATAAATACAAATTTTATGGCAAATCTTAACTTTAATTATAAATAATTGAAAAGTTTAACTATATAAATTTAAAATTATGATAAGTAGTTGAAAAGAAGATTCTTCTCAACTACACAACTTTCAACTATTAAAGTAGTTGAAAAGAATTCCTTCTCAACTACTTAATTTTCAACTATATTAGTAGTTAAAAAGAATTCCTTTTCAACTACTCAACTTTTAACTATTTATAAGTAGTTGAAAAGAATTTTCTTTCCAACTACTCAACTTTCAACTATTTATAAGTAGTTGAAAAGAATTTTCTTTCCAACTACTTAACTTTCAACTATTTATAAGTAGTTGAGAAGAAATCCTTCTCAACTACGTTAAATTTAAAACCCATTAAAGTTGAGAAGAAGAACTTTTCTCATTGTTTCAAAAAGGGCATAAATAAGGTTATATAATGTAAATTTTAGAATTTAACAAGAAAATATATTTTATGAAAATGATATTTAATAATAAATGAAGTGACGCATTTGATTTTTTTTTCTATTTTTAATGAGAAAATTAGATGAAATGTAAATTTTGACACAAAGTGTCATTTTTTCTCTAAGAAAAATTTTTTATATTTTTTATAATAATAAATGAATGAATTTTGGGTAAAGAATAATTTTTTTTTATTTTTTTTTTTTTTCGAGGAGAATTGGATTTTTTTTTTTTTTTTAAATGGGCAAAAAAAAAGTATTTAAAGCCGAGCCACCATGTGAAAGCACATAATCATATGTGATCGTCGAACAGCCTAGGGCACAGCCAGAGACTAAGCCCGTATACAAGATTTTCGAGCAGATCAATTTTATTTAGTACACGTGTAACTAGATATTTTCTTTGAACGCACTTATCAAAGTTCTTTGAAATATTTATTTCAATTTAACTAATTTAACTTAACTCCGAGATATTAAAGTTACATATAGATCTACTTAATACATTTGCGTTCTTGTGATGGTATCCCTTATCATATTTAGATTAAACCTTAAATCGTTGATAATCAATCGACCTTTAATACGGACCCATTGTCTACGAGCAATAATTATTTCATTGTTTGAATATCGTGTAATTCGTGTAATGGATCACTATTAATCATTCGTCATGTTAAATTTTGTTTTGATCTTCACACCAATTAACTTACATTGCCTCCCTTTTTCTGTGTAAGTTTAAAACAATGGACCTGCGTGTGAGAACCACTAAATGTCAAGAACTCCTTTTGTTAATACAATGATTATTATATCATTTCAACTTAATTAGGATAAATTGATAATGTAATCATCAATCGTTTTTTTCCCTTATTCAATAAATGTCGAAAAATAAAAGAACTCTCAATGACGATGGACATTCAGTTTCATTATAAATACGTGTTGAATCGGCATTCCTTTCTCCTCACAAAGCGACAAACATCTGCTTGTCACTTTTACAATCTCCTTTGATGTTAAACATACAGAGAAATATACAAAACAACAATCCCGGGAATCCCGGTAGAAATCCAATTATTGAATTTAATAATCTACTTGCAATTATCAACAGAAATGTAATCTTCCCCAATCAGATTCAAAATCCAGCAAGATTCGTTACACTTTTAAATAATAATAATCGACGTTCAAGACGTTGCTATAAAGGCTTCGATTTATGTTGCGTCGTTGTTGGGGAAGAGGCTAGAAATCATAACGTGACGAATCAGATCGTAGTTAGACGTGTTGCTAATGCATTATGGAGGAACAGTAACGTGATTGATAAAAGACGTTATTGCATCCTTGCTCGTTTGATTAACAACGAGTTACAGAGATTATAAGAATAGAATAACTCTAAAATCCGAATCTGAGATACGATGGTTAATGGCAAATCTGAATTTTTTTTTTTTTTATCGTTTATCGTTTATTTCGTTTATTTCGTTTATTTTATGATGGCAAAACATTTATTAAGATCTTAAAATTTTTTTATAAGCTAATAAGCTAGTTTATGAACCTTTCAAGCATTAAAAACAATTAAGTTAATAATTATTATAATCACAGTTAATTCTGTTAATAGGTTTAATAATATTTTTTTTTTTTTTTTTTCGGGCATTTCATTTTGTAATTAATTCATTACATTTATAATCGTTATTATTTAATTTTTAATTTATTTTTCGTTGTTCGTTAATAATTCTTTATAATAAAATGAAAATCGTTGATCCGATTTGCTATTGTAAATGCGTACATGTAAAACGTTTGGAACACGCGAAATTTGTGTTCTATGAATTAAGGAGCAAAAACATTTAGAAACATTAAATACATTATCAAAAAATACACAACATTAAACGTTATCTTTTGATATGATGTAATATTTACACATTTTCCATTTACCTCGATCACAAGTACATAAATGGTGTCGTTCGATTGTATCAATTTAATATTTTGATCATTTTCGGCGCTAAACCATCATTTGGCAAAAATAGAGACGGAAAATGTTTATATTAATATTTATTAAAAAATATTCTTTTTTAAGAATGTTGAACGAGATAAAAGTAATAACGGTGTGTTAAGTGGTAAAAAAAAAATTAAAGGAGAACCGATTTTTGATCTTCTTACGCCAATTGAAACGTAAAAGCAATAAAATTATCGGATGTGTGTGATTTAAGTTTAGCTATTTTAATTTCTTATAAAGTATTCATTATGAGTCGAACCATATGGTAGTTCTTGTGAAATACATATGATTAACGATTGGTTCACTTACCCCTTAACAATGATTATGTTGTAACAATGGGACATACTCTATTTTTAATATAAACAGTACCACTAAGCTCATCGCCATTGTCTCCGAACACCAATACATTTCTAAATAATTATTATGTTCAACTTTACAATGAAATGCCATTGTATTACTTTATTTACAAATTGTTATCATGTAAAATATACGCGATCTTTACAACAAAGAACTGTATAAATACCATCACGATTCTTTCTTCTATTTTCACAAAGACAAAAAAAAAAAAAAAAAAAAAACTTTTTAAAACAACGATCGTCTTTGTTCGTCTTTGTTCGTCTCGTGGAACGAATTTTCCCCTGATTTACTTGATCTTCAAGTAATTTATTTATAATGAACAGAACTACCCATAATGACAGAAGAGCTCGAATTGCCGAAATAAACAACCTTGCAGCAAATATCAATAGAGCTAGGATTTTTCCACCTCATATTCTAAACCCAAACATTATCCTTTCTCTTTTACGCCGTAATTATCAACGTCCAAGACGTAAATATCATGGCTATAATTTAATTTACGTCGTTACGAAGGAGGAAGCCAGGATCAACAATAGTGTGACAGATGATATTATTATTAGGAATGTTGCTAACGTTTTATGGAGAGAAGGTACCAGAAATCAGAAAGAACAATATACCTCCCTTGCAAATGCCGTAAACGACTTAATTAAGCGTTAATGAATTATTCTTATTACGAATCTAAGTTAATATGCTTTTATATGATCCAATCTTCTCTACTATAACCTTTTTAAGAACCTTCTTTCTTTACAACATCATTAAAAGAAAATATTACAGCAAATAATTCAATGAAATAACCCTAACCAATAGATCACTTACGGTATATCATAAGCTTTGTATTCATTTATTATTTCTATCCTAATAACTTTTCACCCATTAATTATCCTCTTAACAAGATTTTTAAGAATACAATTTTTTTTTTTTTTTTACATGATTAATTAAAACAATTGTAGCAATTTAATTTTAATAATAACTTCATAATTAGCTTTATATTATCATAACTTAATAGTACATGTACTATATATGTCATATTAAATAGCCAACATAATTAAGAAAAATATATTTTGAACAAATTAATTTTTTTTTTTAAGTCGATTTTTATAATTTAGTGGTTTTAATATTAGGGCTAGGGGTGTGGGAAGAAGCGTTAGATTATTATGGGAATTAGGTTTAGGAAAGCCCCAGTCCGGATGTGGCTTGGGAGCTTCTTTTAAGGTTCTTCATCCCTCACTTACATCGATTGATTAAAGAACAATAAAAAATTTTTATTTACTGTTGCTTATTTTTTTTTTTCATTCATACATACAGTATATAAAATAAGGGAAAAACGGTCCTAAAAGTCCAATAATTTTGCCAGTTCTAGATATACAGTAAAAAAACTCGTTAAAATTGTTATAAATTTTTGAATAATTTTAAATGAGACCGTCCCTGTCATTAAGACCCGATCCTAGTTTTCAAATATAAAGATTCTGGATTCCGAGTAAGTTTTTTTATAAATTCCATTAATACATTATCATTAGAAGGTAATATATGAATAAAAAATTTTCTCTAGAAATTTTTTTTTAAAAAAAATCATTTTAACGTCCCTATATAAAATATTACAAATGTTTTAAACCATTAACAATTTTAATTTACAAGCATCTCGCAATATGCGGGCGTATAGAGAAAAAAATTTCCCAAAAAGAAATGTTTTAAATTATTAATTTTCTTTTTTTTATTATTATTATTATTATTTTCGAAAGTTCTTTGACCCGTTTTCAAACTTCACTTGATTTTAATTTCTGCAAATATTGGAAACTCGTGTTTTTAATTTTCGATCATGAATCTCATATGATTGCGTATGAAAAATTTATCTCGAGTTTTTTTAAAATAAAAAACGCTTTTCACCTTTGTTTGAGGTTACACAAATATATTCAGGTGTCCCGAAAATAACAGTAAAGTATTCGATTAAAAATAACTAATGGAGCACAATGCTTCAATTTGCTGAACTTATTAATTTTCATTTTTTATTTTAAAAAAATATATATTTAAATAAAATATACAATTTATTATAGATATAAAATACATAGATCGCGCTTAATCAAATTTCAATATAAATATCCATTTTTTCAACCTTTTTTCCTACTTCCTTTTTTTTTTAAAAAAAAAAAAAAATTGCTTTGATTATTTTATAACTTTACTTATTGAAATGAAGTTATTATTTGGATACATGCTGTAGAAACATCACATTTTAATAACAATTATAAAGGTATTGATTGGATTTCTACTTGGCTGCGATGAAACAACAAAACGGAATTAAGATGCCATTCCTTCAGTTAAAGCGGCTTTTTCAACAATTTATCGCTATTTAACCCAGCAATCTGTAACACCAGAATGCAATTTATACGACAGTAAAATTAAAGCTTCTGACAGGAAAAGATAATATTCAACGGAATTGGGACATACGAAAAAATCATGGTGTTACCAAACTCAAAGAATACGCAGCATTATTAAATTTATGCACTTTTACATTATGAAGGAAGACTTTAGAAATATTAATCACTTTTTTTTTTAATATGGTATTTTCTCGATGTAAAATCGTCGCTTAGATAATAATCAACGCCCAAGGTACTTTAGGAATCCGTAAACAAAAATAGAAAACTTCCATAATCAAAAAAAATTTTAGTGTGACATCATCATCTTAATAATGCCAATTAAGATGATCTCGAATTTTCCAATCGTGTAACTATGCGTCAGTCGGAAAGTTATTTTCCCTAAATCCGTATAAAAGATCTTTCTTTACTGCTTTTTTTAAACAAGAGACTTTCGGGTAAAAGAAATTAACGTTTGCATATTATCCGGTAAAAAGTGCGTTAAATATCACGATGCGCAGCAAATGTTCTAATCGGAACTTATCAATAATAAAGATATCGTACATTAAAAATCATTGGTTATATGATATTATAAATCAAAAATTTTGAAACAATTACGTTCTGTGTAATTCTAAATATAACTATTTTTTTTCACAATGCATCACCTCGTAAAAACAATTAGTCCTGATGTTTATTTTTTTTTTTCATTTGGACAATCATAAGGCTAATTCGTACATTTATGAGAATGCTCTTTTAGACATTTTTTTATGATCGTAATGCAAAAGAGATCTTTAACATTTAAAAAAAAGTATATTATAACAGTATCTTCTCAGTATGGAAAAAACTTGAACCTTCCGAAGAAATGACATCATGCATCATGAGTGTAACATAACTAGCACTGCGATGGAAATCTTCGGTTCATTATAAATTTATTATAATTAATTCATGTAACACATCTGATTATGTTTGGAAACATTTCGGTTTTTACGTATAGATTTTGACAACTTTGGAATCTTATCGGTTATCATACGACGATCTAATCAACTAAAGGTATGTATTGGTGCGTGAAATGTCATCATGTAATACTTTATGCGACCATTTAAGGAAATCTCCGGTGCATTTATATTGAAGTAAAAAAGTATAAATAGGAGAGATTTACTCGGTTTTTTTTAGGGACGGGAAACTTGAGAACAACAAAAATCTACACCCTTTTTAATGAATCAAATGACCAACAATCCGTATTTAAACTCCGAAGAGTTAAGTCCTTCATGCGTGTTTATTAATACGAATAATCCAAAAGTACAAAATCATGTTCGAAATGACAATGTTCCTTATCCCTCAATAAAACCTTCTTTCCCGCCTTTACTTGATCCAAAAGATTTATTAATTATTGGTAAAGATAATAAACCGACTCGTTCTCCGAACGCATTTATCATTTATCGTAAAGTTTTCTTTAAGACCGTTAGGAATGAAGGTCATATTTTACCTATGACCGCCATTTCTTCAATGGCCTCGCAATCTTGGGAAGGAGAATCCGAGGAGGTTAAGAAATATTATAAGAAACTCGCCAAAGAGGCTTATAATTATCGTAATGAACTATTTCCTAAAAAGTCCAGTCGACGGAGAAAGCGGGAGACATGGAACATTATCTCTTTTAATAATAATATCACTTTCTCAACTCCTTCACCTTCCTCCACTGTCAATAATAATGATAACGATAACGCCTCGAAAGATACAAACGAAAATTCATCGAATTTGCAATCGTCTACCCCTGTCGAATCTGTTCTTGACACTTATATGCAACTTAATAACGTTTTATTGCAAAATATTATCATGTCAAATGAAATATCTTTAAATCTATTAAATAATTATGATATTCAAGCTAATAATCTTACCACTGCCACCGATTTCTTGAATTTGCAACAAATTCATCCAGGTCCATCATTGGATGATCTCGTTTCACCGGATGTAAACAATAATCTCGATGATCTTTTTGCAAATCATCCTTTCGAAAATGCTGAACTCTCGAATTTACATGAACAAATTTATCCAAGTCCGTCACTGGACGACATAAACGACAAAAATGATCTCTTCCCTCTTGGATATTCACAATTAGAAAATGAACAAGAGAAAGAAATGCAAAAGGACTTACAGCAACAGCTTTTCTTTTCTCAAGACCTTACAAATTTAGATCCTTTCGATAATTTGAATTATTTTTCAAATGAACCGCAACAAACCGATTTAAGTAATAATGACGCTACTCCAGTTTTATTAAACAATACAAATTCGGAAATTTTTCTTGAAAATTCGGATCTTTCAACTGATTTCACACAATGTCGAGATGATTTGGGAATTTGCACCTTTGCCAATGCCGAATTCGAGGATTTTTTCTCCACGTGAAAATAAAAATTTAAAAAAAAAAAAAAAAAGGTTTCGAAATTTGCTAAAAATACGACAACATACGTCTTGTATAGTAAATCCACATATGGTAACGTATTTATTATTTAAGCATTTGATACGAAGAATCGGAGATATTAGTAATTTAAGATAATATGTTCAATTGTAATTAATATAATTAATATAAATTTACTTTTTTAAAAAAAAAATAAATAAATAAAACAATATGCTTAGTAAGTATGGAAATTAATTGTTTCATATAAAAATCTCCGAAATTTGTGAAACTTACTTAATTTGCAAGAAACTTTCCGAATTAGGTAATTAGTTTGTGTACATAAAACCCGACTCGATTTTTATGAAAATTGGACAATGAAAAAAAATT